TTTTGTTCTTCAAGTAGTTATCTGTTTTAACAGATCTACCACAGGCTCATATTGTCAAAGGAAAGCAATAGATACAAATGTGGAGATATAAACAGTCTCCCACCAAGAACATCATGAACTCTAATACTAGAACTAAGATAACAGGTCAATACATTAAATTCTTTTCTCATATGTAAAGGAGAAGCTATCTAATGATATTAAGGAGCGGATTTAGCTGAGAACAGTATCAGAAAAGAAACTGAAAAGAAACAATGAGTTTAGGGCATTTAGGTTTTTTTTTGTCTTTTTTTTTTTTTTTAAACAACATGTTATTTGAGTTATTCAGTATATGGTCAAATCCTTATCATTTAAGGATTTTTGATCCCGACAGTAGACCATCTAATTTTTCCTTTGACATTTTATTAATCTATCCCACAACTCCCTTACTTCTTATTAGTAATAATTTCACTTCCAGAGAACACCGCAGAAGGACAGAGGGAAGTAAAACAAAATCTTCACTATGCTGTAGAAACACTGGTTAAGAGAACCTCGCAGATTTTATGGCAAGTTCCTTAGCTCTCCATTATGTCAGATGATTGGAAGCTGACTATGATTGTATGAATTCAATTTCTCTGAAATCTTACCAGGATCATATGTTACATTTTCTTCCCCAAGATGTCGTCAGATGATATAAAATTTTAGTCCTAGAAGGGGATTCTGTTACACTGTCTGTAGCTACCCACAGGCCCTTGCCTGGGTCTGGCCTAAAAGCCACCAAAGGCGGGCTTAGGTCATGCTGTGTATCTCTACTAGAGGAATGCATGAAGAGCCTCCACTGCACTTTTCCTGGCCCCTTGGTGGAACAATTTTCAGTTGTCCCACAGAGTCTCTCTGTCTTCATCCAGCAAGATGGAGCCCCAGATGTCCACAGGTTGAACTACCTCATTAACACACTCTTATGTTTTGGTTTCCTTTGCTTTTTCTGTCATACTTCTCTATTCTTTCATCATGCTTCCTGGATCACCTCCTAGATAAACTATTTGCATAAATATTACCTCTTTTTTATACTTTTTTTTTCTGCCGGCCCCCCACCTCCAGCATATGGGGCTGGCACCCTACTCCTTTGAGCCATAGGCACTGCCCATCATAAATATTATCTCATAATCTGTTGATATTGTTTTATTTTCTAAGGGGAGAGACCCAAATTAAACAGTAATCAAGAAATTACCTTATTCCACTAAGGTAAGAAATTACCTTATTTGCTAGAAAAGGCAAAACATTTTTTGAGACAGAATCTCACTTTGTTGATTAGACTGGAGTGCCATGGTGTCAGTCTAGCTCATAGCAACCTCCAATTCTTGTGTTCAAGTGACCCTCCTGCCTTAGCCTCCTGGGACTACAGGTGCCCACCACAATGCTTAGCTATCTGTTTGGTAGAGACAGGGTCTTGCTGTTGCTCAGGGTGGTCTTTTTTTTTTTTTTATTGAATGGTAACTGTGTACATTGATGCACTTTGGGGGT